CAAAATGGAAACCAAGCGTTTCTTGGTTCAAAAATGCCGAATCTCGTCTCAATCATCATTTGTCAGGGCTTTTTGGAGTAAGTTCCTTGGCTTGGACAGGACATTTAGTTCATGTCGCTATTCCCGGATCGAGGGGAGAGTACGTCAGATGGAATAATTTCTTAGAAGTATTGCCGTATCCCCAAGGGTTGGGCCCCCTTTTTATGGGTCAATGGAATCTTTATGCTCAAAACCCTGATTCCAGTAATCATTTATTTGGTACCTCCCAAGGGGCAGGAACTGCCATTCTAACCCTTCTTGGGGGATTTCATCCCCAAACGCAAAGTTTATGGCTAACCGATATTGCTCATCATCATTTAGCTATTGCATTCCTTTTTCTCGTTGCTGGTCATATGTATAGAACTAACTTCGGTATTGGGCACAGTATCAAAGATCTTTTAGAAGCACATATTCCCCCGGGGGGTCGATTAGGACGTGGACATAAAGGTCTTTATGACACAATAAATAATTCGCTTCATTTTCAATTGGGCCTTGCTCTAGCCTCTTTAGGGGTTATTACTTCTTTAGTAGCTCAACACATGTACTCTTTACCTGCTTATGCATTCATAGCACAAGACTTTACTACTCAAGCTGCATTATATACTCATCACCAATACATCGCAGGGTTCATCATGACAGGAGCCTTTGCTCATGGGGCTATATTCTTCATTAGGGATTACAATCCGGAACAGAATGAGGATAATGTATTGGCAAGAATGTTAGACCATAAAGAAGCTATAACATCTCATTTAAGTTGGGCCAGCCTTTTTCTGGGGTTCCATACTTTGGGCCTTTATGTTCATAATGACGTCATGCTTGCTTTTGGTACTCCGGAAAAACAAATCTTAATCGAACCCATATTTGCCCAATGGATACAATCTGCTCATGGCAAGACTTCGTATGGGTTCGATGTACTCTTATCTTCAACGAATAGCCCGGCATTCAATGCAGGTCGAAGCATATGGTTACCTGGCTGGTTGAATGCTATTAATGAGAATAGTAATTCACTTTTCTTAACAATAGGGCCGGGAGATTTCTTGGTTCATCATGCTATTGCTCTGGGTTTACATACGACTACATTGATTTTAGTAAAAGGTGCTTTAGATGCGCGTGGTTCCAAGTTAATGCCAGATAAAAAGGATTTTGGTTATAGTTTTCCTTGCGACGGCCCCGGTCGTGGTGGTACTTGTGATATTTCTGCTTGGGACGCATTTTATTTGGCAGTTTTCTGGATGCTAAATACCATCGGATGGGTTACTTTTTATTGGCATTGGAAACACATCACATTATGGCAGGGTAATGTTTCACAATTTAATGAATCCTCTACTTATTTGATGGGATGGTTAAGAGATTATCTATGGTTAAACTCTTCACAACTTATCAATGGATATAACCCTTTTGGTATGAATAGTTTATCGGTCTGGGCGTGGATGTTCTTATTTGGACATCTTGTTTGGGCTACTGGATTTATGTTCTTAATTTCCTGGCGTGGCTATTGGCAGGAATTGATTGAAACTTTAGCGTGGGCTCATGAACGGACACCTTTGGCTAATTTGATTCGATGGAAAGATAAGCCAGTGGCTCTTTCCATTGTGCAAGCAAGATTGGTTGGATTAGTCCACTTTTCCGTAGGTTATATATTCACTTACGCAGCTTTCTTGATTGCCTCCACATCAGGAAAATTTGGTTAATTTAGTGAATTCTTTTTTTTTACCCTATGCCCCCCAAAAAAAATATCATTTCTTTCAATGAAGAGGAGGTATGTACCTTCTTCTATTTTTCCATCTAGGATCCGAACTTTATAAAATAGGAACTGAACATTATCATTATGGCAAGAAAAAGTTTGATTCAAAGGGAGAAGAAGCGCCATAAATTGGAACAGAAATATTATTGGATTCGTCAATCCTTAAAAAAAGAAATAAGCAAAGTTCCCTCGTTGAGGGAACAATGGAAAATTCATGGAAAATTGCAATCCTCACCACGTAATAGTGCGCCTATACGTCTTCATCGACGTTGTTTTTTAACCGGAAGACCTAGAGCGAACTATCGAGACTTTGGACTATCTGGACACATACTTCGAGAAATGGTTCATGCATGTTTGTTACCAGGTGCAACAAGATCAAGTTGGTAAGGAGAAAATCTTGTTTTCTATTTGGATAGATCTCTATGATCTATGATCTATAGAATAGAGGGCCCCTTTACCATTTTGTATAAATAGACTATTCTATTTGTATAGATATGGTAGAGGGGCATATCCAATTTTTCTTCGTCCATCAGTTCCCAGTCGTTCAGCGCGGAGTAGAGCAGTTTGGTAGCTCGCAAGGCTCATAACCTTGAGGTCACGGGTTCAAATCCTGTCTCCGCAACATTTTTGCTAAATTCCCTTTTATTTTGTATTTGTAGTAATTAATGTTGTTGGGAGGAAAAAAGGTGAAACGGAAGATAGAACTACTAACTACTATATTCACTACTATGCATACTAGTATGCATAGTAGTCAACTGTACCGACGGAATCTTTTTATAGTACATTATTTCACCATGGGCGGATAGCGGGAATCGAACCCGCATCTTCTCCTTGGCAAAGAGAAATTTTACCATTTGACCATATCCGCATTTTCTTCGTTCCTGATACGTATGCATATGTCCACACATATATGACATATATGATATATCATATATGCGTCTGGATCATATTTGCGCAGGGCCAGATAAAAAGACTATAGTAAGTAAAGTAAGATTCCGATTAAGATCAGATTCTTAATTATCTATATCCAATTCATAACAATTGAAATGTAGAACTCAGATGGAATCTTAGTGTGTCTCATAATTTGAATTTCTTATAAGGATTGTAATCTTCGGATCGGGGAAATACCAAAAAAGTTCAAGAGATGAGAGAATTAAGGATAGCTACCAGAAAGACTAATCCAATCCATAATGATGTACCAGAAAATACAATATTTTTGTTACTTGACCAACCATCAGAAGAAGCAAATACAACGGGTACACTAATCAGTAAGATTAATGAAGTTGCAATTAATGCAAAAACAGCTAATTGGAAAGCAATAGTCATGTTTGTAATCCTCCAAACTACCAACAAATGAACTGTACCATTTGATCCCTCGCTTAGTCAAAATTGTCAAAAATGCATCCTGAAGGGATTTGACATGAATGAATTGATTCATTAGAACTTATTACCGCTTTCTTTTTTTTTATTCGGACATGGAGTGGAGCAGATAGTTAATGTATCATTTCATAGGATCATGTTCTTCATAGGATCTTGTTCTATTCGTAGGAAGAAAATAGAGATTCTATTTTGGAGAGATGGCTGAGTGGTTGATAGCCCCGGTCTTGAAAACCGGTATAGTTCTTAACAAGGAACTATCGAGGGTTCGAATCCCCCTCTCTCCTTTTGCTTGCTTAATAAATTCCTTCTTGACTCGTTTGGACTGGCCCCTTTTTTCAGAAAGGGAATGGCTCGGCTATCTCGCCTAGCCGAGCCAGAATATAAAAAATAAAAATAGAC